GATCTACAGTGTGTCCGTTTCAAAACTACCCTTATCGTTTCGAAAAAAGAGAACCCAAGATAACAGTACTTTGAAACTTTATTCACTCTTAATAAGATTCTCGAAACAAATACCTTAATAATCTAGAATAATAGAAAATTGCAGTCGTGGAGTATTAACTGTGAAAAATTGACAACGATTCCTTCTCGCAATTAGTAAAAGTAGCTTTCTAAAATTTCCTCCGATCTAGTTGCTCCCCGTTGACCCCGTCTCAGATATGCGCGAGTCGACCAGGCGGATTTCCCGTAAAAAAATAAAAGGAAAAAAGGGAAAACGGAGGCTAGGCCGCGAAGTCGGACAGTAAACGTCCCGGTTCCGCTTCCCCGAGCGTCGAATTCGTTCCGCACGCGTCGCGGTTTTGCATCGGCATCTGCGTGGAGGCCCCGACGGGGTCACGGGATCGACTTTCTCCAGGTAGGACCGTACAGATCGATAATAATCGACCGTATGGTTAATTGTCCGCCGCGAGACAGCGATCGGTCGCGCGCTACGCCTCGCAGTGAGAGTTTCGCGATCGGCCGCGATACAATTTATGGAAAGATCGGGAAAACGCCGTCTCGGACGCGGCTTTCACCTTCCTTTTTTTCGTTTTCTACGCGCCGCTGCCGCGACCGAAAAGGCAGATCGATTCGACGCAAGTGTTAATTAGCACGCCGCGCCAGAGACCCCGGTAATTGGCGAGAGCGTTTTCAGATGCTGACGTCCGAAACCTGTCTGAAGGCGGGCTCTTTGGAATTAGAGATCAATTTAGAGGGTCTTGTATTTCCACTTTACACGCGTGACAGACACCTCTTTTTTTCTACAACCCTCGATTTTGTAGATCCACTTACTGGATTCGTGCCGTGAACTTAGGTATTAATTGGTTTACGCAAGTCGAGGCAAACGTAATCCATCGGGCGTATGGATGTTGGCATTGTATTAGATTAGAAGACAAATGCTTTAGCAAACATACAGGGTGTTAAAAAAAAACCATTCAATATTTATAGGGTTATAGGATACATTGTACTGAGTAAAAAAGCTTTATTAAACATAGGTCGAAAGGTCAACCGTTTCTCAGATATAAACATATTTGTTTGTTATTATCATAATTGACTTACTACTGAATTTTCGATGTTTACAGAAGATTTTCCATGTGTCCACCTTCCATTTCTACACACGCTTGGCATCTTCTTTTTACAGAATCGCGAACTCTCTTGAAAATTCCACATTTCCGTTGAATTGTTTGACAAGAATGGTGGATTCGGTTACGTAATTCTTCTATATCATTTATCGGAGAGGAATACACAGGAGAGGAATACAGGCTTTTTAAATATCCCCATAAGAAGAAGTCCAAAGGGTTTAAATCGGGGGATCGAGGAGGCCATGCAACTGGTCCACCACATCCACATGTTTAAATGGTCTCTCACATTACGTACAAAATGAGGTGGCGCCCCATCATACATGTACCACATCGATAATCTTTCTGCCAAAGGCATATCATCCAAGTACTGAGGTAATGTATTCACTAAGAAGTTGAAATAAGCAACTAAGTCAATCATGATACTAGCAAACAAAAATGTTTATATCTCAACAACGGTTGACCTTTCGACCTGTGTTTACTAAAGCTTTCTTGCTCAGTACAGTGTATCCTATATACCATATAAATATTGAATGGTTTTTTTTTTAACACCCTGTATAATATAAAATGAAGAGAAATCGTTTGGACAAACCGGAGAAAACTGGTGGCTACCTTATCTACTTGGATAATGTTATACTTAGGAATGTTGATTCTCGAACTTATAAATCCACTTGCTGGCGCGGTCGTGCCGTAAGCTTAGGTATTAATTGGTTCAAGAACAGTCGACGCAAGTCAATGCAAACACAATGCACAGGTGTATGGATGTTAACATTAAATTAGAAGATAAATTCTTTAGCAAAAGCATACAGTTATAATGATAAAATATATAAAAGGAAGTGGGATCGTTTGAATAAACTGGAGAAACCGTATTGCTACCTTTTCTATTTGGAAAACGTTACATTTAGGAATATTAATTCTCGAATTTAGTATTAACTTTCACTAGCTTAAAATCCGGACGCGATATTAATTTCTCGCGGAGGATTTCTCCGAATCCGGACGTCCTTTACGATCGACGTTCGCAGCCGAGTAACTTTTACTCGCACCTGACGTTACAGAGGATCCATTGGAGCGGCTGATTTACGTATCTCTGGAAAGTGAGAGTCCACGGTGGTTTTGCGAGCGTGTTAAAGGCCACGCCTGTGGAAGAGAAGCAACGTTTCCCCGTTGGGGAAGTCATGCTCCCATGTTCGTACGCGGCCGCCGCGTCGTTAGAATATCCTTATCTCGCGAAGTCGCCACGGCACCGGCCAACGCTATCCTTTTATGGGATCTGAAGCCCTGTACGAAGGACGCGTTACACCTCGCGCGCGCTTCACGCTGATTTACATCGCGCCTGGAATTCGAGGGCTCGATCCCAGTTTCGGCGAACGGTACAACGAGCGCGAAAAAATATCAAACATTAATTGAGTCGTCCGCGATATCCGCGACTGCTGCGATCTGAAAGCCTATCTAACGTATTCAACGGAAAAATATTATTACGCTCGCTCTTAATGCGAAGTTCATTGAATTTTAGATGCTAAGCGGGAGGACAAAGTTCAAACGCTGTAGCATAACAGGAGAAAGAGACACGAAATTCTGACGTATGACGGACGGGAACGGCTAGGTCAGATGCATATCTAGCAGCAGCTGAGTCATTAGAGCGTAACCGGGAGTTAGAGTGGTGTAGTTCACGTAGGCAGATAACCACGTTGGATGGGAGAATTTTATGAATTAGACAGCACGCACCGGAGTGCCTTCGTTTCTTATTCAGCCATTCAGGCTTCTTGGAAAGCAGTTTGCTAATTAAATTTCCTGGTGGGAAAGAAGTCAGGATAAATCTTTGATTCGAATGTTTCGATCGGGTTTCAGACTTGGCGCGTCTGTCCATTAACGACTATTTCTACTTGCTACGGCGTACGAGCAGAGATACCACTGTCTCACACTATGCCAGATCACGCGTACGTGAGCGCGTAGAGTTTCGTAGAGTCGAAAAAGGCAAACTGACACATACCCTTGTTCTCGATTCTTCGAAGCTGCCCAAAGTAATTTCGGACCGTCTCGTGAGAATCGAGAGAGAAAGGCTTTCATTTGCCTTCTCGCCTTTGAACAACTGAAATCCGACCTCACGTTAACGACATACGATTTGGAATCTCGACTGCCCAGGCATTTTTACTTTCCGACCTATGTGGGCTCGCATAAGCAAATGCCATAATGAAAAAAAAGTTTCTTCCAGGCCTTTCCTGGTATCTACTAGCCCCTGCTAACCTCTGCTGACCACTGCTGACAAAAGTAGAGAACTCCTGACAACTTTTGACACCATATAGCAACTGTTGCTGGCTACTGCTGATTACTGCTGGCCCCTGTTTGCTTCTGCTTGCCTCTGCATGCCTCTGCTGGCCTTGACCACTGTTGACCACTCCTGATACTTCCGACAACGCATAACGATAACTACTGGCTACCAGCCTCTACTGGCTTCTGCTGGCGTCTGTTGACCACCGTTTATATTTCTGACAATGTACAACGATTACTACCGCTAGCCCCTGCTGACCTCTGCCAGCATCTCCTGACGTCAGCTGCCCTCTGCTGACCACTGCTGACCGTTGCTGGCAACTTCTGACATGATATATATGTATTAACGTTTGTGTAATATAAATCCACGACAATCAATAATACAATTTCAAAGAATTTATGTCAGTTTGGCATAGTGTGAGAAAGTGGAATGAGGTGTCCCCGGTGCACCTGGGGTTCCGTCTGGCATCTCTGTATCCGAGTCGGGGTTCCATTAATTTTTTCACGATACGAGCTTGTAATGAAATTAGACCTGAATTTTCCTTGTCTATAACGAAGTTAAGAAAATCGAAAGTTCGCGAGGATTACGCAATGCGATTCGAAGGTTCGGTGTATCTCATAAGTTCCATTAATATGTGTGATTGGCCAGAATCACGCCAACCCCGGGGCACCCGGAGGATACGGTGCAGCAGGGGCAGATGTTACGGGGGCCGTGTCACAGCATAAATCGCGAAACGACCGCCAATTAGCCGGACGCACAAATTACAACGCGCTGAATTAGAAACCGGCCCCGCCTTTCGGGGAATTCTCGTCGATCGATCTCCGGGGCCCGATGATACTAAAAATACGCCCACGTTATTCGCGCGCATCAACATCGACGGGGTCCTGTTCGAAATTGACCTATCGAGACCGTATTTAGTTCGTTAACGTTCGCAGCCAGTGGCGTCGTTTGTTCCCCGTCGATATTTATACAGGGTGTAGCAACGGATAACAATCTCGCCTCGCTGCGTATCGTAATTTATGTACCGCTTTATATCTTTGTTCGAAATTGTCGTCAATTACCTTTCGCGAATACGTAATGAGAAACCTGTGCGTTTAGGGCGCGATTGGCGCTGGGAACCGAAACTTTTCGAGAAACTTGAATTTTACGGATTTACCCATCGAAAGTAAATTATTTTCTATCGAGCTTAAACCCTCGCCGTACAATGACGAGTCCCACTCGTTTGTCGTTAAGTTCTATATATTAAAATCAACACAGTATTACATTCACGATGCATTCGTAATCTATTCTCTTTCGTGGTCTTGTACGAACAAAATTTGAAATTAAATCGTACGGTCGAGGGGTTAAGGGTGGCTGTCGAAACCGGAAAATAAAATAGTGAAAATTGAGATTTTCTAGAGCCGTTCGTACGAAATAAATACCTCTGAAATCCACATAAGGGAGGCTTAAATAGTTCATTTTCAATCTCTAGATAGAAACGCGAGTACTACGATAAAATGTTTGGTGCATTTCCCAATTGTCTGTCTCGGAGTATTAACTCCCGGAATACGAAAAAAGTGTCGCTGAGGGAAGTGCATGAGTTGCAGGCGAGGTAGCCAAGCAAAGACACCGGGAGGATCTCGAGGAAGACGCGAGAGAGTAAAAGGAGGACGAGAGGAGGAAGAAGGGAGACAGTACGAGGCAGAGAGGAACGTCCACGAGGTGTGGTGGCAGGCAGGTGAGCGCGGGCGTGCCGCGTTTCACGTTGGCATTTGCTAATGGCAATCTCGCGGAAAGAGAGAGAGAAGGGTAGACCGTGTGGCAGAGGAGAGCAAATGCCTCGGAGGAAAAAGTCATCGGGCGCGTTTATACCGGCATTACCCTTCTTTCTCTTAGCGCCAGGGGCTCGGGTGAGATACCCGGAGAATACGGACGAGCACACCCACCTACGATGGGGCCGAGCAACGATATATTACTCGCGCGCCTCGTGACACCTCACCTGCCGAGTCTCTCCTTCTGCCTCCCTCTCGAGCACTCCTCGCCCTTCCCGCCCCTCTATTCATACAGGGTGTCCCGCTGAAACCACCATTACCCTTCTCGTCTCTCCCACATGTCCTCAGAATTTTACTCGAATCGAATTAACCCATAGCACAGCGAAACATTGAAATTTCTATAAACGAAACTTTTAGTTTCACTCTAGAGATCGACGGGTCATTTTATATTCGTCGTTCGAAATTTCTATCTGGATTTTTACCGATCCCCCAAGTAACCAAAATATTCTGGAACTCGAAAGTGTAGTCTGTATCGCTTATAAACCAGCTGTCGAAAATAGCTCTATTTGTGAGCGATCGTGAATGACTCAAAGTATAAAACATTAAGGGGCAAATGGGAGCAGCTGATTCTAGCGTGATCTTTTTCAAGATACATCTACAAAGATTTCCAGCAGTTGTGGAGGTGTATCGAGGAGTATTTTAGAAAAGTCTAATCAAAGTTAGGAATTGCATTAATGACGATAAGCAAGTTGATTTTTTTACTTTTGTCCCTCTTCGACGAACTGACCCTACGATCTTGAAACATTACAGAAGAGATAGATTTTGTGGACGGAGAGGGCTAAGAGATTAGTTGAAAACGAAGAGTGGATGGATGGACACCCTGTAGAGGCGGCCTTATGTCGTTCCTCGCGATCTCGCTGGAGGTGGCTTCCCTCCGCGCCAGGCTATCTTTCCCTCTCCGGTTTCTCTCAGCCGGTGCTTCCTCGTGGGTGGATCAGAGCCCGGGGATACGTTCGCAGCCGCGGAACAAAGTGCGTCCCTTCCGCCACGGAGCGCCATAAAACGCCGCTTATCCCGGCCACGGACGACGACCACGCTCAAGGCGTAAATCGCGCTCACGGAAACGCGCTGGACAATCACGTGACAAGCAATGAACTTCGAGCACCGACCTTTCGATTTTATTCCCTCGTATTCGGACCGAATAATGCTCGAGACCAGCTCGAACACAATGTACGAAGAGACTCGACGACCTCCGTGCCATGGCAAGTTTCTTTCGCGAGGGAAAGTCCCAAGATAAAGTAACTCTTTCTTCCAAGGGTTTATTTATCACGTAAAAGGTAGAAACTGAATTAATTACACGAGTCTAACAGTGGTGTAACTTCAAAACTACAATTGTGAAAAGTACAAGTGTACTATTCTGGGAATAGTCGACTCGTATCATTTTGTAGAAAAAGGTCTGCAGTTTGTTCCAAGTTCCATGGTCGAGGGGTTTCTTCCAAGAATTTTTTTATAACGTAAAAGATAGACATTGAACTAATTACACGAGTCTAACAGAGGTGTAACTTCAAAATTACATTTCACGAGGGAGGTGAACTATTCCGGGAATCGTCGACTTCATTTTGTAGAAAAAGGTCTGCAGTTTGTCCCAGATTCCAGAATCACCTTGTACACAGTCGTTCACGCTGAAAATCGTGCGTCACTCCTGCTTGCGAATTGGTCTGATATGTACAGTATGTACGTAAATGAAACACGTTTATAATTAATGCGAAACCCTGTTGGTACGACTATAAAACGCAACGCGAAACGTAAACTTGCATAGATTATGGAAAAAATGACCGGTCGTAAGGAGCAACGCTATGTAAATTTTACACGATCGCTTCTTAGACCGATCGCTTTCCCTTTACGGATTAATTTGCTTCGTGCTCGGATCAACAATTCTTGTTATTTCAAAACTCGACTTTATCGATCTAATTAACCCGATGTTTAACAAATCAAGAACTCTGTTTTTGTGTACAGATCGTTATTGGAAGAAGAAAAGGATAAAATTAACTTGTTGAGATAAGATCCGACGTTTAAGAAGGAAGACAACTGCTATTCTAGCTTATGAGATATCGTGCTATTTTCTTCTAATCTTAACAGGAAGTTTCTTTCGGAATACTTAGAGAGCGACTGGTTCTAAATGTTTCTATTGCAATTCTACTTTAAGGCCTTCTGTTTTCACAGATGATACTAATACATTAATTACTAATCATTTAAAAAGAAACATCGAAAATATTATTATACCGATATCGAAATCATATTTTGTTACCGCTGAATACCGTATGCGCGTTCGTCTGAAAATTAAATTAATATTCTTTTCGTTTACCTGACCGAAGTCCTGCAAGACCACATTGTGCAAATACCCCTGGTTGCGACACGCTTATAAAAACCATTGGCGACTCGCCGCATGGCCGCGTTAATCGGTAAATAATGCTTAATTAAATAATCCACGCCGAACCGTTAGAAAACCAAGCGACTGTCGTAATTAGGCTCGCGAAAGAAACCAGCAAGAAACTTATCGCTGAACTAAACTCGACGGTGGAACCGATTTCGTCGGTAAGAAACCTTCTGGTCAAGGATAATAGAATTCTACCGTTCAATGGCGAGACGGAGATCCCATTAACAAACGAAACGAACCTCAATGGACTTAGATTCGAACTCTGCAACGTTTCGAACTTATCTTTGATTTTACAGTCGTCGAACTCGTTGAGTCGACGATGCGTTTTTCTAGCTGCAAAGCCATTTCAACACGACGCCATAGATTCATTTTCGACAGTACGTTGATTAATGTGGACTAACTGGCGTTGTCAAAGGCTCGGTTGAAATCAGAAGACGCTATATCTGTCTCGTTACCAGTCTCTCGTGCATGAAGTTGCCAGAACAAGTTCAGATTAATGGCCGCGGACGCACGGGGACCAAAACCACGCTACTCTGATACGTCTCACGTATCTGGGCTTTTTCGATCGCTCTAATCGTTGAATTACTGTCATTGACGTAGTAACTCGCCAACCAGAATAAAGATTCTCGCGAAGTATTTTAATTATCGTCGTTTAAATCTGGTGAATTTTCTCGTGTCAAAGTTCCTACGGTTTAAACATACACAGTATGTCGGAAAAATAACGGAACTTTTTAAATTTAATGAAAATTGCTAATGCTATCTATTGAAACAACATGTAACCTGAAAGCTGTATATTTCCTCTACAAGACAAAAGCATCATTATTGGAATCGACTAACGGATTGTCAAGTATAACGATTAAAGTGGCAGTACCGTTTGTCACTTCGTCGCAGAAACACAATGGAACAAAGAGCAAATATTAAATTTTGTTTCAAGCTTGGGAAAACTTTTACAAAAACATTTGAATTGATGAAAAAAGTTTATGGTGATGATTGTTTATCCCGTACACGTGTGTTCGAATGGTATAAACGATTCCAAGACGGTCGTGGTGCTTTGGAAGATGACCCAAAGCCAGACCGGCCAAAAAAGAAAAATCGCGATGAGTTGGTGGAAAAAGTGCGTGAAATGATTACCTACGATGCAACTTCAAGTGTGAGATGGATGGCAGATTTATTAAATACGACTAAAAACATGATTTACGAAATTTTGATAAAGGACTTAAACAAACGGAAAGTCTGTGCTCGATTTGTTCCTCACGCATTAAATGAGGACCAATCTTATTAAAACAGCCAGACGGAACTGCACATTCCTGGAATCGATTGTGACTGAAGATGAGACTTGGTGCTTCAAGTACGATCCACAAACAAAGCGCCAAAGTGGAACGTGGAAGTCCCCAGACTCTCCAAAATCGAAAAAATTGCGATTCCAGCAGTCACGAAAGAAGACAATGTTGATCTGTTTTTATGATTCTAAAGGTATTATACTTCGGGAATTCGTTCCACAGGGTCACAATGTCAATAGTGAATATTATCTGGGTGTTATGGAGCGTTTGTGGAAAAAAAACGTTCGAGTGAGACCCGAATATCGAACGCCAGTAAGTTGGTTTTTGTTGCACGATAATGCACCATCACACAGGACTGTCGCTGTTCGTGAATTTTTTATGAAAAAACAGGTCTGTGTGGTCCAGCATCCTCCGTATTTGCCGGACTTATCTCCATGTGATTATTTCCTATTCCTAAAACTCAAACTGGCCATGAAAGGAACGTTTTATGACAGTGTTACACAAATCCAAGGCGCGGTGACAAGAGCCATTGAGGCGATTCCGCAAAATGATATAAAAAAATCTATGCTGGCACTAGTCGAATGTGCCCAGCGGTGTATTGATGCAGAAAGGATATATTTAGAATAAAAAAAAATAATTTTGGCAAAGTAACTAGTATTCTTCTTTTAATTTAAAAAGTTCCGTTATTATTCCGATATACTGTGTATATACACTTTCTACAGAATAGATACAGATAGTAAGCAGGGGCCCTCCAACAATTTAAGTTTCCCAGTTTACGCAGCAATTTCGATCCCAGAGTTTTTAAGCGATACGCCTGTAGACTTTGTTAGATTCCAAGATTCCCAGGGCCAAATCTAAAAAGTTACTCGCTGGAGGAACCTTGTATCCTCGTAGCAGCTATGGTCACGCACCCGAAGCCGTTGAGAGCCGTCATCGGCTGATCGTCTCTAGAAAGCCGAAGCACGCGATCCGATATCCCGCGAGAACGGTTGCGCAACGCGTGCGAGCGAGGACGGTGAAGATATTAGCAGAAGCGTAAAGAGCACCCATGTTACCGCGTCGAGTTTCACCCGGAGCGTAGCCATGGAAAGCGACAGAGAGCGACGATCTAATTCCTATTCTCGGGGTACGCCGCCTCGGGGCACATCGTGGCTGCCCGATGAGTTATGATATGCATACGTGGTCGCGCGAGCGCACGATCGATGCCCCGAGATCTCCTTGTTCGCGGTTCTGTAGACGAGGCCGCGGT